TAAACCCAATGATATCAGTAACCATACCATATACCAAAAATCATAGCAACTCATTCATTCACTTATTCACTAAATATTGATTATATTCTATGCACTGATCATTGCCATCTTATTGAGAATATATGGTGAATCAAAGTGTCAAGGTGCAGCATTGAGAGTACTAACAAGTGCAAATAAGAAAGTTTTCAATTAAAAGTCATGTGCTGAGGGGTCATGGGGGTACAAAAGATGGTGGAATGAGATGGACATCATTACCATAGCTACGTGTGTGATTACACAAATGGTGCGTCTCTACACTGTGTATAACCAGAGAATTGAAATGTTGCGCTCCATTTGTGTACGATGAATTGAAATACATTCTGCTGTCATGGACAACTAAGTAGAACAAATAAAAATAATAATAATAAAATATATTACTAATATGATACCAAAAGAAAAAAATGTCCTGTGCTGTATTCCTTAGTAAACAGGAGATGTCAGGAGGGACCTCTAACCTCCACCATATATGAAATGGACCAAAGACCTAAATTTTAAGAGCTAAGGTTATCAGACTCTTCAAAGTAAACACAGGGGCAAGTCTTCAAGGTTTTTTATTTGCAACAGATTCTTACATCTGACACCAAAAGCACAAGCAAGAAAAGAAAAATACAGGTAACTGGACTTTATCAAAATTAAAAACTCTGGTGCCTCAAAAGACATTCTCAAGAGAGTCCAAAGTCAACCTACAGAATGGGTAGAGACATCTGCCAATCCTTGATATGATAAGGAAATCATACTACAACATCTGGAGAACTCTTCCAACTCAATAATAAAATAACACACTGTCCAATCAAAAACAGAAAAGAAACGCATTTGAATACAATGTTTCCAAAGAAGATGAGCAAACTAACAAGCACCTAAATGGATGCTACCATCGTTGGTCATTAGGGAAATGCAAACCCAGACCCCAGAGAGCACCCACATGACATCCAGCAGGACACCCTTAATGTTTTAAAAAGTTGCCTAGTATGTGTAAGCCCCTGGCTTCTATCCCTAGTACCACAATCTACCAATCATATTTAAAAAGGAAAATAGCAAGTGTCATTAAGGATATGGAGAAATTGGAACCACCCCCGCCCACAGTCAGTGGGAATGTAAGATCATGACGCCGTGTCCAGGGGAAACAGTCTCTGTTTGCTCCAAAAGCAAAATGGACCCAGAGGCACTGACAGCAGGGACTTGAATAGACACATGTAGCCTATGTCCACTGCAGTGTTCTTCACAACGGCCCCAAAGCAGGACCAACTCCAGTGTCCACCCACAGATGAACAGACAAACAGAATGGCTACCCACTGATATCTTATGCCATAAAAAGAAGTGAAGTCCTCAGGGGTGATGGAACCAGATAGAGGTGGTGTTTGCACGACATTGTGAGTGTGCTAAATGCCTCCAAACTGACCCCTTTAGAAGGGTAACTTTGTTTATGTGAATTTTACCACAAATAGAGAGAAGAGAGACAAAGAGATTGAGAGAGAGAAGGCCTTGTGTATTAGGGAAACGATGACTTGGTATTTGTGATATTAAGGGATTATTGCTTTTGAGGTGTGATAAGGCTATCAGGTTCTGATGTTCTAAATCTGTGACCATGAAATGATATGTAGGATTTGCTTTAAAGCATTTCACAGGGGGAACATCAGGAGGTACCCCAAAATGGTATTGATCTTTGTTGAAAATAACTAAATCTGCTGATGGAAATACAGGGGCTTATTTGCTACTCTTTCCATTTTTGTACACTTTTGAAATTTTGCATAATAAAAAGCTTGTCTGATCCTCGAGGGCAGGATGGTGTCTTCCTCCCCAGCTCAGCAAGCAGGAGGCTTTGCGTTGCCAAGGAATGAATGAATCTCATGACAGACCCCTGCACGTTCTCCTCCTGGGAACAGAGGGAAGAGAGAAGGAAGGTGTTGGACAGACGTGGGTGTGGACGTCAAGGCAGGTGAGCAACACAGTCCAGATAAGGTCATGCTCCGCACAACCCAGGGGAGCCCAGGCACAGCAAGGATGACTGACTCCACAAGCTGTCGGGACACTAGATGGGCTTGTCACCAGCCCTGCACACAGAGCACGCTGCTCTGCCTCTGTCTCTGTGCCCCTGTCCCCTGGGCCTGAGCCCACAGAGTGAGCAGGCGTGTGTCACCCCTCTTGCCCCCAGAATATAGCTCTAGTCCTGGCCCATGGCAGACTCGAGTGAGTGAAGGAATTTGGGGGCTGCAAGCACCAGTGTCTCACCAAAGCCACCAAGAGGCTCATCAAGCAGCAAATAGACCATTAGGGTCTGTCTATGACATGACCCCAAAGGCTCGTGTGCGGCAGACTTGGTCCCTAGCGCGGCAATGTCCAGAGACGGGGCTTTGGGTCTTGAGGGCTCTGACCTCGTCAGTGGATTAATCCACTTGCTGAATTAGAGTGGATTATTGAGAGATGATGTGCACTGTAGGAAGTGGGTCTCGTTGGAGGAAGTGGGTGACTGGGGACGTCTCCTGGAAGGTTTTACCTTCCCTAGTCCCTCCTCTGTCTCTGTCTGTCTCTCTGTCTGTCTCTATCTCTGTTTCCCAGCTGCTGTCCTCTCCCAGGCCCTTCCTCAGTGACATGCTGCCTCACCTCGGTGCTAAGCGATGAAGCCAGCCCACCATGAACTGAGCCTCGGGCAGCCGTGAGCCAAAATAAACTCTCTTCCTCTCGGTTGTTCTCACAGGTATTTTTCACAGCCTTCTCACACCGGGCGGACAAGAGCAGACTGGCTGGTTCTGTCAAGAAATAAACGATACAGAACAAACCTGCGCAGACAGACGAGCCTTTCCTAGAGGCTGTGTGCCAGCTGACCCTTCCCTATACAGAGGGGGACCTCAAATTCACTGAGGTCCAAGGCTGCCCAAGGTCACACGGAAATTGGATGGCAGAGCAAGGGAACGTGACGAGGATCGATTCTGTCAATCATTTACCCAAATCCAGAGGGGCCAAGAGGGGCCAAGTGGACTGTCGCAAGGGGAGCTGGGAATGGCCTGGTGCTGGGGGAGAGGTCCCAGAGGGCCAGGGAAGGCCGAAGCCAGAGAATGGGGTTTTGCAGAGGGTAGACCACGATCCCTCTGCTAAGCACACACCCTGCTGAGCACCGGGAATTGAGCAGTGCCTGAGACAGAGTGTCTGCCCTCAGGGGGCTTCCAGTGGGGAGCCAGATAAATACGCCATGTCATTGCAGCAGGACACAGGATAAACAAGGCCAGCAAAAGGTGGCCTCTGAGGAGGGGCCTCTGAGGAGGGATGAAGCAAGCAATCCAGCTGTGGAAGGAACTGGAGAACAGCGGTTCCAGACAGCTGACAGCAAGTGCAAAGGACCCGAGGCAGCGGCAGCGATAAGCCTGGTAAGTTCTAGAATTGCAAGAAGGCTGCAGCAGCTGGAGCCAAGGGAGGGAGGGGAAGGACAATTAGAGGTGAGGTTGGGAGGCCGGTAAGAGCCTGACAGGTAGGGCTTCCTCTCCAAGTGGTGGGATGAGGGGCATAGGATTTGTCCCAGTGTGAAGGGCCGGGGACATTCAGAGGAGAGGAGCATGTTCCAATTTACCATTCACAGGACCGCGGTGGCTCCTTAGGGGAGGAAAGGCCACCCAGGCCCTTACTAAAATAGATTCCAGGCTCCACCAGGGCCTCGGGTCCCTTTGGACAATAGCATGTGTCACCTCCTGGGTCCCTTTGTGCTCCTACAGCCCTGTGACAAGACGGTTATCAGCACCATCCCACAGAGCAGAAGTCAACGTCCCAAGGGGCAAAGTGATTAACTAAAGTCACTGAGGCCGCCCCTCTCCTCTGGCTCCTCCAGGCACCTCCCC